TTTGTCATTATGTATAGCTAAAATGAAGTATGTACACATTTGTGTAGATTTATGATACAATTTGAAGTGCAGAGTCTAAATGAAGTATGTATTCATTTGTCATTATGTCTAAATGAAGTATGTATATTAGTATATGTATATGTATGTATGTAATTGCGTGTCTATGTGCAATGACTGAATTTTCTCTTGGACTTTCTTACTTGGCGCTTCTTATCATACAATGTGAGAGAGAATATCTAAATAACAATGGGCAATTACCAGATTAAAAAAATATAGGAACCAAACACGGCGTTACTTAGGACTCTTTTTATAATTTTATTTTAAGAAAATAAAAAAATGGAGTATCTTAAGACTTTTGTGGAGCGACAATATCAGTTCCCTTATTTATAATTAATAGAATTACAATCCATTTTTGTTTACAAGTTTGCAGGGGCTAACGTAGCTGGCAAGATGCCTCCCGTTAGCTCTTGGAGCGCGTGGTTCGAATCTTGGCACCAACTTAACCCCCTAACATTTACCCTTCAAAAAAAAAAAAAAAAAAAAAAAAAGGAAAAGTTTGCAGGGGCTGTTCATTGAACTTTTTATATGTTATTTACTCTATCAATTACTTGGTTTTTGACGTTCAGAATTTGAGTGGGCCCATGTGTGCCATATTTTATCTTGGTTATTGGTTAAAATGTGAATATTAACATTTATTGAAATTTAATTTTATATCTTATGATTGAAAGTTATTTAAGTTAGAAATTGTAACTCCTTAAACTTTAATATCTACTATTAAAATCTTGTTTGATACTAAAGAATGTGCAAAATGACAATACAATTCATTTCATAAATATTTAAAATTTTAATTACTCAAAACAAATTGTTAATTAATTATTTGTAAAAGAAATTAATTTGCTTTTGAATATTCTGAAATAAATTTCTTAACTAAGATTATAAATCACGTGTCTTTTTTTAGTCTTTGAATAAGGATAATGTTGTAATTTTATTAACACATCAAACTAATTTGGATTTATTAATGTATATTTATAGTATATACTCTTTTGTTTTTTGAGTATACTTGTTTTTATATTCATATTTATAATTTAATTTGAACTTGAGATTTATAATTGAATTTAAACTCGAACATACATCATGGTCAGATATGAATTTGAATCTCGTTATTAACCAGATTTAAATCTTCTTAGATTCACACAAAGTTCAATTAGTTGAAACCCAAACATACAAACAAGCATATGCATTTATATGAGTAATGATGGGAGATGTGCAAAAAAAACACCTCTAAGGTGTACTCTACGTAGCATTTTGTCTCTTATTTAAAAAGTATGCTGAAAACCCCCCTTAATTTTTTAACATTGTGCGAAAAGATCCCTAAAATATCTTTTGTATAAATTTAACCTAAAATAATGTCATAATGCCTATTTTTTTCCTTTTACTCTTCCAAACATGCCCACCAGGATAAAATGATGATCGGCAGTGACGAAGAAGACGGGCCAGGAAATGCTCAGATGGCAAAAAATGGCGTGGCACAGAAATGTACCCTTTTTAGTCATTTCACAAAATGATATCTTTTTAGATATATATATATATATATATATATTTATAAAATGTGTAAGTAGGACATATTTGTACAAATGTCATAGTTTAGGAATATTTTTCATACGTGAGGGGTGCGATATGCACTGTAAACATACTATATGGTTGTTTTTTGCACTTTCCCCGAGTAATGATAGATGCCCCGATCTCACATCTAAGTCTTACCTCAATGCGTCACACGGCTGTGAGAATTTCGACACATTGATCCAAAATGTGACCTTGATAAGAAATTCATTATTCATGGTATATTTAAATTCATAATCGAATTTGAAGTGAGATTTGATTATTATCTTATAACATATTTAGATTTGATTTTGAATATCTAAATTATTTTGATTCAAATTTAACTAGATTCACACATCACAACTCATATCCAAGAAGTTGAGAGTTCAAATTCCCTTTGAATCACCCCATGAAATTTTTTGGGTAATTGCCCCATGCTCTAAGAGGCTTTGACGCTACCATTGTCATTGTCTGACAGACAAAAAAAAAAAAAAATTGAAAGCCTTAGCACATATATCTCTATATATATTTATATTTAGGTTAGTCATAGATCATTCATTCTTTTATTGCGATGGAGTTGTGTTTACCAATGCACCAACTATTTTTCAGAAGTGTAAGGGATTAATAGCACTCGAGTCTTGGTTTTTTTCTTAATCTAGGTTCGTGTAGGACTTCAACAGAGCCCACAACAGATATTTGATCCAGGCTATTTGGTCATGTCACAGTCGCACCCTGGGTCAATCTAGGCCCAAAACACACATAACGTCTTAACTCTTTAGTCTTGGGCTTGGGCTAGTCCTCCTCTAGGCCCAACCTACCATATCAAGCTCAAGCCCATGAAATTTGGGATGAAATGGCATGAATGCTCAATTTGCACTTTTAAATTATTGTTCATAAAATTCAACTCAAAAGGATGTATAACCGTTTCTAATTTTAGACTAACTTGTGCGGAAGTGCAACAATGTTTGGTTGATGGGAAAAAAAGAGGGATGGGCATAATAGTGATGATGAAACCATAGTAGCTTGGCAACAAAGTCATGGAAAACTGCTTTATCATTTTGAAAATTGTTTCATTCCAATACCAGAAATCACTTTCAGTCGGTAAAAGTTTGTTTTCATACTACCGTGGCTTGAATTTTTTGAAAACGGTCTTATATTTCAAGAGTATTTAAGACCTGCTTTTAGAAAATCGAACCAGACTACACTCTAAAACAGTAAAAAGTAAAAATTAGGAAGGAGTTGGTATCATTGAATTTGAAAAAGCAGAGGAAGTTAGAGCAATAAATTAAGGTCATGTTGCATCTATATGACCGAACAAACATTGAAATAGGAAAATCCTATTTTTGATTATGGAAAGGTTTCCGTAATTCTTGGTTAGGTCTTTCCTATTTTTCCGGATTTTAGGAGTATTAGTTAAGTATATTCTACATCAAAGACCCTACCCAACGCAAATAGTCATGAAATATCATATCGGAATGATTTTTAATATTTTTTAAAATTATACGCTGTTATTGGTTTGGATCGGATTAGAGTCATCTTGAATTTAAAAATATTATAATTTAAAAATTTTCTTTCATTTTATAAAAAGCAGTACTAATACTTACACTGAATTTTCTTTCAATTTATAAAAAGCAGTAGTAATACTTACACCGAACACTTTTACTGAATTGTCTAATCGAATAGTTTTTTATTAGTTATTTACTCTAAATAGAAATAGGTAGAGGGTCCAACTTTCTTTATTATTGAATAAATGACTAATTAAAAATAGTAGATCTAACAATTTACTGCAAGTATTCGGTGTAAGAATTATTTTCCATTTATAAAATTTTTCTTGTGTCATTAGATCAAATGAATTCATAATAAATTTAAGGAGAATAGTAATTTTTAAGGAGATATGTGCGTTTGAAAAATTATTAGTTTGTCCTTTTAAATTTTGAATATTTAAGTTTGAAATTTTAACATCAAAGGACAGGACATATATAGAAAGATATAAAAAGAATTATTTTGGAACAGGCAAAAAAAATAAATCACGATATTTATTTTAACATGAAGGGAGTAATAAATAAGAAAAGTACAATGAGTGTTTTGAGGTAAAAAGTAAAGTAAACATACTAAAATGTAAGGTATTAAAACTCTCCCATTATTACGGTACCTTATTTTGGTAAACACATCCTCTATGGTTGATTCTTTTTCTCCACATGGGTAATTTCACTTTTATAAGAAATTTTGTTCTCGCCAAACAAACAATCTTAGAATAATGATCCAATTATTCAGTTCATAGAGTTGAAGTATAAAGTTGGAGTGTGAGTGAGAGTAAATTTGAGAATAAGAACGATAGCACAAAGGCGACAAAATTAAATTACAAATAATGAGAATGAGAATGAGAATGCATGCAGAGTATCACTGGTTGAGAAGAATTATGTGACTTAAAAAACACATCTAATTCGATTAATAATTATTAAAAATAAGTAAAACTTGTGTATGTATGAGAAGTGACCAAATGGCAGCGAATTTGCGTACACTACTTGTGTGGTAATTCTTTTACAAATTGAAATGGAAAAAATTAGCCGATTAAATAGGATGAAGGAAAAGAAAATGATATTATATGGTGAAATGCAAGAAAATATGATTTAAGTTGATTATTAGAGTCTCTTTGGCATTGGTGTTAGAATAAAAAAAAGTGCTTTTGTGAATAGAATTGCTAAAACTTTGTAGTCGGTTAAATGTTTAGTGACACATTAAGTACTTTTTATAATTAAATTGTGAATTATTTTATAATAAAACACTTTTTATGGCTAATTTTACAATAATACAATTTCCCATATTAATGGTTCATCTTTAGTATTAGAATTTTTGAAACGGGGCAAACAATTAATAAATTGTTCCCTTTTAAAATTACCTTCTTGTCCTTTTAAGTTTAAATATGTAAATTATTAAATTGAAAGATTTCGGAAACTTAAAAGGCGATGATGGAAATATAGCATTAATTTTCTTTGACTAATTTGCAACATATTAAAAAAGAAAAATGGACTAAGACATACGTAGTATCATTTAATAGAATGTTATTATATTTAAGAATAATAATTTTATAAAAGAAGTGAAATTATCTTTATAAAAACAAAAAGTCAAAATTATCTAGAAAAAACAGTTATCCAAAATACAAAACCTACCTTCAAAGATTGTAAAGACAATTTTTAAATAAAATTATTTTTAAACCACTATAATTGATTTCATCTAATATGATCACAATGACACGTCTACCAAAAATCTCAAGGAAGAAGTAGGACCCACCATCAAAAAAATGGTGAAATCACCGTCCATTTCATTTGGAGGAAAGATGGAGTCAAAAGCAAAAGATATATGTGGCTGTAGTATATAATAACTTCCCCAGTCAGTTTCTAGTTTCTTGTTTTTCATTGACCTCTTTTACATGAAACCTTAAAAAGAGGTTTTAAGCCATGTTAGTTAACAATCTTTCTATATATATATATAATCACCCCCAAGATTTCACGGAGCATTTCTTGTAGAACATCTTTATATACTCTCTCTCTCTCTCTCTCTCTCTCTATATATATATATAAAACTACACAAATCACACAAAGCATTTCATTTCAGACAATGGCGTTTTTTCAACCATCAAGAAAATCCCATGTAATTCTTCTATCAATTTTTGTCTCTTCATCTTAAACATGTTTCTTTGTGGTTCAATTTTCTATAAAAACTCTTTTATATAGTTTTATAATTTTGAGTTTGTTTTAGAAAACCGAACCAAACATACCCTGTTTTTGATGCTTTCGATTGGTTTTATGTTTAATATAATTAAACATGGTTTTTTTATGTGATTTTGTATAGGGTGTTGAGATAGTTTTGGCGTTGTTTATATTGGAATTAGTAAGTTTGAGTGTAGTGGAATGCGGAGGACCAAAAGGTCCAGAATTGATCTACTCTGCAATAAGTTGTCGGAAACACAGCGCGTCTTTGACGGAATTTGGAGGGATCGGAGATGGGAAAACGTCGAACACGAAGGCGTTTCGATCTGCAATCACTCATCTCAGCCAGTTTGCATCGGACGGTGGAGCGGAGCTCATCGTGCCGCCGGGGAAATGGCTGACGGGGAGTTTCAATCTCACCAGCCGATTCACTTTGTATATCCACAAGGATGCAGTTCTTCTTGCTTCTCAGGTATGTATGGCCTTTCATTTCCCTGGAAAAAAAGGGGTATATGAAAAGTTGTGGTTGTTACAAATTATAAAGACATTGAAAGGGAAATTGATCCAATATAGACATGGTCAAATATGATCCAACATCACATATAAGTTGGACCAGTAGTGTAGAATGGCTTTTCCAAATTAGTTGGTTGATATGTATTGTCCTAATTTAAAATTATCATGTGATTTTAAGTTTTTATATATATATATATATATTATTATTATTATTAACAGAAAATTCTACAATTTCTCATTCTACCTCTATAATTGTCGGGTTCTACCAGGCACACTATATTATTGTATACCATAACATATATTTATAATATAATATACATACATATAAGTCTATGTTTATGGTTTATGAGTACCATAACATATATTTACAATATAATATACATACATATAAGTCTATGTTTATGGTTTATGAGTATATAGAAAGAGATAGTGATATTTTTGGGATGAAATTAATTTACAAATATAGAATATAAGGATTAAGTAATATACATACATATAAGTCAATGTTTATATATATATATATATAGAAAGAGATAGTGATATTTTTGGGATTAAATTAATTTACAAATATAGAATATAAGGATTAAGGAAACAATTTAGGAGAAAAAAATAGGAAACATATGTAGAATTTTATGAAGAATCAGAAAATTAGTGGGGGGCACTTTCCATATTTTCATAAAAAAAAACATATATATTAGAGTGTAATAATATTTAGCATGAGTTATGCTGACTCATTACAAAACATTGAACTTCTAATTTTATTTCTCGTTCCCTAATAGTTCGTCTTCTATTAAAAATTTAATTCATTCTTTAATTATCTCCATTTTTTTTTCCCAATAAATATCTCTGCACTAATAGTTAGTCTTCTATTAGGAATTTAGTTCATTCTTTAATTATCTCTAATTTTTTCTCCTTAAATATATCGGATCTATTTTTTCTGTGTAGACTTAAGAAAGGTAAAAAAAAGGGTTTAATTAATTGTAAAATAAGAGACAATATCCTTCCCAAAGATAAAGGTAATACAAATATATGGAGATGATCTTATTAACATTTAGGATTCCATTAACCTCCATTCTCTATGATACAATTTATTTTATTAAGATGATTTTATCATAAAAAATTATACAAAGAGTCAAAAAAAAAAAAAAAAAGGATAGTTAAAAAGAGAGAGAGAGAAACTTAATAGTTATCCCTTCAAATATTATTACATGGTATATTCACGTAAACAGTCATATAGATAAGGTCAGAGAAGTAGATTTATCTATTCGGTGTAAGTATTATTATTTTTATATATTATTATAAAATATATAAAAAATATAAGAGGGGAAAAAAATTCAAAGCAGGTGCCTCGGTCCTTTAACTCCTTCCGTAGTATGGTACCTTCCGATGGGATATGGTTGATTTTCTCAAATTAACATCCCAAAAAGGAAATAGGGAAGGATAGGGGAGTATTATTTTACTCCAAGTCATGTAGATGTGATGGTAGGGTCCTCCCGATTGAAAGGTTTGGGTATGTACCTCATGATATTGTTGACTTTCTCACTACTAATTTTTCAAAAAGGAAATAGGGACCGAGGATGGGGGAGTATTATTTTGCCATTTTGCTCACGTTTTAAATGGGACAAATAATTTATGGCCTTCTAAAAAAGAAAAAATGCACTATTAATATGAGGTTGAGGGAGTATATGTTTCAACTTTATTCTCGAAAAGTTTGTTTATACCATTTTTTAATGGTTTTGTGTTATAATTATAATGGAATAAATTAGGATTATAAGTAGGCCATCTCCTTTGCTTTTTCTTTCTAATGCTTAATTTTATGGTTCAGAATGTGTGTCATATCTTGTAATTAACTTCTTAGGAAATAAAAAAATCATGTCCCCTTAATATCATCACCTAATGATAGTTTAATTTTACACTATTGTTGTGATATCATTGTCACCATAACCTAGGAAAGCTTGTGGTCTTTCACTTTGTCTGATGCCTGAATACAAAGAAAAAAAATGTTGTCTGATGTGGTCTGGCAAGTTACTGTCAAACCCAAATTAAATTAATAATAATTATTTTTTGTTGAAATTCAAACAATTATATTAAAGGTAAATTAATATTGGGGCTGACTTTAGCTCTCTATTTTACTTAATTGTTACAATGTTAGCTCGTATCTTGAACTTGTGCTCATATTATGTGTTTACACTGACAGGATGAGTCTGAATGGCCTGTTGTTGAGGTATTGCCTTCTTACGGGAGAGGAAGAGATGCCCCGGGAGGAAGGTATAGCAGTCTCATTTTCGGAACAAACCTCACTGATGTGGTGATTACAGGTACTTATTAACGTGTCAGTTTGATAATTCAATTCAGTACTTAACGAATTCCAATCCCTTTTACAACTTGTTTGTGTATGTGTTTGTAACGTTTGCCATTTCGAATTGAACCCTAGGTGGTAATGGCACACTTGATGGCCAGGGTGCATCTTGGTGGAAAAAGTTCAAGGCAAATGAGCTGAATCTCACTAGGCCTTACCTAATCGAAATCATGTACTCGAACCATGTCCAGATATCGAACCTTACTTTGATCAACTCTCCATCATGGAATGTCCATCCAATTTACAGCAGGTTAGGCCATTCCTCTATCTGCAACTTAGACTATATATGATCTATGCACATTGTGACTCCCTCATTTTCTCTTACTCACCGTGGTCTAATTTGATCGAACCTGAAATTGCAGGAACGTAATCATCCAAGGGCTGACAATCCTTGCACCAACCGACTCTCCTAATACAGATGGAATAAACCCAGGTGTGTATGCCTTCTGAAGAAAAAAACAGATCAAACACACACAAGAACACACAGATGTAGCGTGGTTCACCTAACTAGGGCTATGTCCGTGGGTTGCAGGGATTTCACTATGTCTAGAACAAAGAAACTTTCATATATCATAACAAAGAAATAGACTTGTTTTGTCTAAACTATGTTGAATTTGGAGCATTTCTTCAATGAATTATGGGTAGATCATTACACTAAGTTCTATTTTTCTCTCTCTTGTTGTTCAGATTCTTGCCATTATACGCGCATTGAAGACTGTTACATAGTCTCAGGGGACGACTGCATTGCAGTGAAGAGTGGTTGGGACCAATATGGTATCAAATTCGGAATGCCAACAGTGCATCTAAGCATCCGTAGGGTCACCTGCATTTCCCCCGACAGTGCTGTCATCGCTCTTGGCAGTGAAATGTCGGGTGGAATACAAGATGTGAGAGCAGAGGACATCACTGCCATCAATTCTGAATCCGGTGTGAGGATCAAAACTGCTCCGGGAAGGGGTGGCTACGTGAAGGACATCTACGCGAGAAGATTCAATATGCACACAATGAGGAGGCATGTATTTTGGATGACAGGTGACTATGGGTCACACCCTGATAACAATTCGGACCCCAATGCACTTCCTGTCATCAAGAACATAAATTTTAGAGACATGGTCGCGGAGAATGTCACCATGGCTGCAAAACTCGCGGGAATTGATGGGCATCCTTTTACCGGGATATGCATCTCTAATGTCTCGATTAATTTGTCTCCGGACTCCAAGAAATTGCAGTGGAATTGTTCTGACATTCAGGGAGTTGCGAGCAATGTGAGTCCGAAGCCATGTGAGCTGTTGGCTGATGCAGGAGGCAAGGACTGCCCTTTCCCGGATGATAAGCTGCCCATTGATGATGTTAAGTTGAAGATTTGTTCTAGCAATAGCAGCGACAAGTAAGAAAACTGCAAATTGTATAAATCTCCTTAGAATGGTTTATATGATAGGTAATATAATAGCACCTACAAGTAGGAGAGTGCAAGATATATTAATCCTCCCAATATAGAAAGGAGTAGTGAATAAAATGAAATTTTATGTTAGGTTCCATTTTGTTTCGAGAAAATGCAGAGCAATAGAGAACAATTTTGGATCATTGTGATTAACGTCGAGTGATTTTTTTACTGCTAATCAATTGATTTCAATGTAGAAAAATCGAGACAATTCATTTAAGCTGCAGATTGTGCAGGCACAAAAGAAGTTGAGAAAAGAACAAGAAAATATAACCTTAACTGTTGCAGATTTTGCAGGCTCGAAAGTATCATATGAGTCACTTCTTGATGTCAATGTATGATTTAATTTCTTGATGTCAATGTATGATTTAATTTATTATGAACAAAATAAGATTCATTTTATTCTGTATAGAAAAATATATGAAATAATTTGGGACTGAAATGTATCCAGTTATGAAATGTGAGGAAAAAACCATATGAATCATAATAAAAATGACACAGGACAAACAATTTGACTAAATAAACAGATTTTTGTATCTAAAAGTGATCTCGAATTCTCTAGTCTTCATGATCCATGGTGGCATATAACGGCATATAACGACTTCATCCTCAGGTTGTAATATGTTTGCCCTTTTATTTGTTCCTTATGCGACAGCCTGATAATCCTCTTCTTCTGAGGAATTCCGGGGAGAAGTCTCCGGCCTAATACATTTTTCCTGCATCTTGAAAACAAATAGTTATGAATGAGATAGAAGTTAAGAAGAACTACCCTGCTATATGAAGAAACAGTAGTTCTTACACAACTGAAAGTAACGATTGTTTAATTTTTTTGACAGCTCTACGGACAAAAGCGCTTCCAGCAACGCCAAATGGGGCCTAAGTGGGATAAAAATGATTGTATGGTACATTTTCATTGGGTGGACATACCAATGACGTGGTATGCTTGGCACATCCAATATCCTTTCTCGAGTCCTCATTTCAGAGGTTTCCAGGTTATGTTCAATATTTATAGAGCAGATTCAGAAAGCTGAAAGTTTGTCCTGAAAGTACTTTCAGAAAATGCTTCTACAACAACTGCCATATGTATGTATATGCACCAGAAAGATTATGAACAAAAGGTGACTCATATTATGATGTATATTTCAGTTAAGCTACATTGTGTACAACTATAATTTTAGAAGTTAATAAACTTAAAACATGATATTTAAGCTATTTGAAGAAAAAATTGTTCTTACTGTGAGCAGCAAGTCACGTGGCTCGAGCATGTGGATCACATCTCCCATTCGAGGCCTGTTCTCTACGTCCGGATCAACACATCGAAGAGCAATCAGAATAATCCTTTTGAGATCGATCAAGGAAGGCATCTCGGGCAATTTAGGATCTGGTGTAAAATGAATTTGCTGGTTTGCAACCATGGTCTTAAACCAGTCAACCAAGTATACCTGCAAAAGAAAATTAATTCATTTCAAACGCGTTTTTTTTTTTTTTTTTAGGAGGAGAAAATTATGAGAAGGGTCGAAAGCTTTAGCATCCAAATGTTTCGGACTAGTGACCTCTAGTTCAGTTCCACTGTATTCTATTGCAGTCTTCCCGGATACAATCTCCATGATAAGTACCCCGAAGCTATAAACGTCACTCTTTTCGTTCAAAACACTAGTAGCAGCATATTCTGGTGCTATGTAACTAGAAAATGCAGAGAAATCTAGTTACTAAAGTAGTCAAAAATAAATAAATAAAAAAAAAAAATTACTGATTGATCATCACATTATATATATTGTACTAGTGAGAAATGATTCAAAAATGTTTTGTTCTCATGAACCAAACTGACGTACCCTGACATTCCCATCAAAGGAGACGTGGCACGACCTAATAGTCTAGCAATCCCAAAATCTGAAATCTTGGGATTCCACAATTGATCAAGCAGTATGTTTCTTGATTTTATGCGTCCGTGGACAACCTTTGGTTCGATGTCCTCGTGAAGGTAGGCCAAGCTGCAGGAACAAAGTATCCTCAAGTTAAGAAAACATAATCATCTATGGAAATAAGAAGAATAGCATTAATCTGGTTTTCGGATCAAACAACACACCCTTTTGCAATTCCTAGGATAATGTCCATCCGAGTAGTCCACGATATAGAATTAGCTTGTCGGCCTACCCATCCATGAAGCCACCGGTGCAGATTACTATTGTCCAAGTACTCGTACACAAGCATGCTAATCATCCAAATGGGAAAAAGAAATGAAAAATTGGGATTGCAGCTTCAAATTCTTACTGTTGATATATATATATCATGTAAATGTCTATATATGTATGCATAGTTGCATACCTGTAATTTCCTTCGTCGCAGTATCCAAGCAACTTGACCAGATTCTTGTGTCTAATAGACTTAATCGCATCCACTTCGACAACAAAGTCCTCAGCTTTAACACTGATAAGTTCATCAGTTTCATTAACAAATTTGAGAGACATACTCTTGAGAGAAAAATTCATAGCTAAAGTTTTAAAAGAGAGTTTTTGTACACTTAAAAAACAAGAATATGTAAATATATTGAATGAAATAATAATCCATTTCTAGCGCCAATGGAATGTAAACTTATAATCCTGAACCTACTTTTCCATCATAACAACAACCATGATCATTTTAATTTCGTATAAATTAACTTAGCAGTTAGCATTTATATTCCAAAATAGAGAATGTTAGAACTATATATATAAACATATATGCACAAACACAAATATACCTGTGACTGAATTGACCAGCAGATGTTAGATATTTCAATTAGATGTGCCTTTTCTGCATGTATTGAAATATAATTTTGCTCCAAATCTAACACCAATTATTATTTTTATTTTATTTTATTTTTGCAATAATATATCTAAGACCAATTGCTTGTGCCATACCGGTAGTATCACCAATCATCATATGGACTTGTCTAACACCAATTACACACACTTACACACACATATGTAAATATATAATGTACCTGTTACAAACCAACTGCTTCACAGCAACCCTAGTGGCATCCAACAAGACACCCCTATAAACCACCCCATAATCTCCACTCCCAATCACATGACTATCATCAAACTCATTCGTTGCCATTTCAATTTCTCTAAGCATATACCGGCATTTCCCAATCGATCCTAAATCCCCAACAGGGTCACTCTTTCTTTTGTCACACCACTGATTTGACACCAAAACCAGCTTCTCAGCCATGCCATTGCCATTGCCATTGCCATTGCCATTGCCATTGCCATTGCCATTGCCACGGCCCATCTCGACCTCCGAACCATTCCGCGACAGCAGCCTCCTATCTAGGGAAGATGTACTACTACAACCATGAAAGTTCTTGGGAACAAGACATGACTTCTTTGATGCAGCAAAGGGAGGCTTGTTTCGTCTGTGGCGACACGAGAAGATGAAGTAGAGAGACAACAAGAGAAGGGTTAGAACAATGAATAGGGAAACGCAAATGGTGATCACCACCCATAGTTTGAGACTGAAGAATGGGGTGGGTTTCGAGAGACTCGCATTGAGAGTTGAGATTGATGGCATGCTTAAAGCGTGATTTGATTCTGATGAAAGGCTAAAATGGTGAGTGTTCTGGTTTTCAGATGTGGAAAAGCAGAACAAGTTTTGATTCTATCGGAACTCTTCTTTGTTTTCGAGTTTATTAGTTGATCTCAACAACTGAATATCGAGAATAGCGGGAACGGTTGAGATATGGTGTGGTGGGTACCACTTTATCGTAAATGAAGCACCAATATATTTTTGCCATTTTAGAAAATATAGTGCTATTTGTCGAACTCAGCTGACTTTTTATTTTTTTTGCTCAACACTGAAATGTAACACAAACAAATTTTCATAACCTCAAATTACGTTGGGTTTCTCTCTTCAAGATTTATTCTTATTCAAATCATTTATTTATAGGTTGCCTACTCCAATAATAATAATAATAATAATAATAAGGGTAATTTGCAATGACACATCAAGTTTGTCTTTTAGTAGATTAAATTTAGGTCACTTTTGGATAATAACACCCTCAAAGTTTACAAACTTGAACAATAACACCCCATTTTAAAAAAATGGAGCCAAACACAGCTTTTAGTGACATAAAATGTCTAATATGCCTAAGATATATTTTAATCCCCACCTAAAATGACCAAACTACCCTTTCATCTCATCTCGTCTCTCCCTTTCATTCCGCGTACACAACTTTACTCTCTCATCTCTCTCTTTCAACAACTCTCAATCTCATCTCATATCTCTATAATGGTCGATTGGAAGACCAATCACGCGCTTTTCTCTCTCTCACACACAAACTACTCTATCTCCCTCCTCTTCTTCCACACCCAAACCCCCAATCCGTAAATCAAACCCATGTCAATTCTCTCTATCTCATACACACAGTATCTCTCAAACCCCCAATCGCATACACTTAAGAAGATGATGCCTAGATCCCAAACCCGACCTGTCAATCCTCACCAAACTCGATGACCAGTGGCGCAAAGGCCGAGCTCTGCGCCGTGCCGCCGTTGTCGAAGAAAAGAAGTCGTTGGCCTTGATAAGTCTTGGAGGTTATTTCAACTATTATGGACAGACGAGGATGCCATCGAGCCGTTGCTGGAATCACGAATCGTGAACCAGAAAATCGTCGCCACGACTGATTCCTTATTGCTGGCTCGAATTCTGATTTGCCCGGCAACAGCCTCTGGCCAACAAATACTCCGGTATACTCTCCGGCAACGGCCTTTGCCCAAAATCGCACCGTTCTCTAAAACCCACCGCTGCCGCTTCCGTCAGCGGTGTCGCGGTCAGACAATCTGTGTAACACAATCACCGGATTGAAAGGAGATCGATCTCCAGCGTTCTTCCACTTCATCATGTTTGTTGGGTTTTGTATGGCTTTGTAGTGGTGGGTGGAGAGAGAGAAAGAAGGGGAAAGCAGTATTGGTGGCAGCGGTGGTGGTGGCGGTCACACAGCCGGGTTCAATGGCTGACTCGTCTGAGTTAGACTCGGTGGTGGCAGAGGTCTGAGTTGAACTCGGTTGGGTTCAATGGCTGCCTTTGCTTTTGTATGTATGTATATATGTATATATAGTTAGATATATGGGGTAATTTTCACAGACCTCCCCTATGGTTTGCCATCATTACAGGCGGCACCCTTCTTATTCCTGAAACTACGCGGACCTTTTTTACTTTTTAAAATATCCTACACGGACCTCCCTTATCTGTAACTGAACGTCAAATGCACTAACGGACACGTCAAATTTACTGAAATGCCCTCAATTTTCTATGATCAATGACTAAAATACCTATATAAATAATATATATTATATATATATATATATATATATATATATATATATATATATATATATAATAGTGTAAATAAAAATGAGATGAATTTACTTATGTACCTTAACCATTGTTTCCAATGGAATATAACCCCAACTCCGGTGAGCTTTTGATCTAGTTCGAGTATTATAGGTGGCTAAAAATAGTTACAAAGACCTTGATTTGGCACCAAATTCTCATCCATGGCAACTATTATGATTTATGTATAAAAGTGAGGTGGAGAAAGACCGGAGTGGATTTTTTTGCTCTAACTGGCTGTGAGCATGGGAATTGCGTTTCCAAGCAGAGGGCAGAGAGGAATGAAAATCTATCATGCCTATTTGGTGAAGTTTTTGCTCTAATTGCTAAATTTTGGTCCGATATCTCCCAAGTCGTTCTCAATCTCATTATATTCAGATCCAAGAGAAGTTTTCGCTCTTCGTGATCGGATATGGCACTGATTTCACCGAAATTGAATTTGCGAAGGTCTTACCAGATCAGGCCAGTTTTGCAGTAGAACGAGGCTGACTTAAACACCGGCAAGGGGATTCTTGTCAAGCCGCCGGTGAGGAAGAGCAAATTGGCAACTCTGACTGGTGTCATGGCTTGTGGCCCCTCGCTTTCTCTCTATACCTTTGTTTTTTCTCTCTCTGTAATCTTCTTCCGTTACTTTTCCCTCTCGCTAAGCTGTCATCACAAATAACAACAACCCAAATATAACAAACTCGCATACGGTGCCTTCCTTTATACCTCAAGCTTCACTCAACTTTCGACCAAATTGTGTTTCTTCTTTCAGGTTTGTTTCTGCACAAAGATCTTGTTGCTAGCTGATATATATATATATATCAATTGGTAGGGACAAGGGTATTTTCGGCATTTCATGAAAAATAGTAGCTGATGTCATCATTTTCCTTCGTTGACTGGCGTGGACCGTAACGGAAAGGAGGTCTGTGTAGGATATTTTAAAAAGTAAGGGAGGTCCGCATAATTTTCGGAACAGGAAGGGTGCCGCTTGTAATTATGGCAAACCGTAGGGGAGGTCTGTGTAAATTACCCTAGATATATGTGTGTAATTTTGAGGTGTTGGGTTTGTGTGACTTTGTGTGATGGTGGTGGAACGAGGAAGAAAATGGTGGTTGTGGAGGTTACGGTGGTGGTGAGTGGTGGTTATTGAGGTTGCGGTGGTGGTGACGGGTGAGTAGTGGTTGTGTGTATTGGCTGAGGCTGCGTTGGTCATTTTATGTGGTCAAAGGGTTATCAAAAGGTTAGCACGTACTTTCATCATGTTTGGGTGTCATTGTTTAAATTTGCAAATTTGGGGGGTGTCATTGTCCAAAAATGACCTAAATTGTATCTATTTGTCTTTTAAGTAAATCGGGCCGGGGGGTGTTTCATTATAAATTACCCTAATAGTAATAATAAAAATAAAGGAAAGCAAAAAAAACCAACAATCCACCGTATCTTTTAGGTGAAGGTATTAATTAATATAGAAGGACGTGAGCTTTAAAAATTTATATTTATACCTAATACATAAACTTGTTTTCTTTAAAAAGAGGGTAATTTACACAAACCTCCCCTATGATTTACCCTATGATTTACCCTAATTACAAGGACCTCTCCTCCTATTTGGCAAATTACTCGGACCTTCCCTAATTTTAAAAATATCCTACATGGACCTCCCTTTTGTGTGACGGACCGTCAAATATACTAACGGATTTGACTAATTTACTGAAAAGCCCTTAAATTTCTATGGTAAATGACTGAAATACCCTATATATATATATATATAAAAAGAGAGAGAGAGAGAGAGAGAGAGACGATCTGAGAGTTGGTGATGCCGAGAAAATGTTGGCAGAGAAGCCGAAGCAACAGAAACAGAGTTGCAAGTGTGATGGCGGATCGAGATCCCAACCGAAGAAGAAAGGTGGATCGGAGAAGTTAGCAGCGCATGGTGTCCATGGTTTTATGGCGGAATGAGGTGCCGGAAAACGTCGTCCACAACTGTGAGTGCTCACCGTCGGCGTGAGTTTTTTTCTGATTAGATAAATATTCAACAATTTCTTTTGAGAGTGAGTACTGGAATGATACCTACTACTGGCATAGATAGATTGATTAGGTACAACCATAAGCATGGATGTGTCATAAAAATAGGTCAGCAACTGCATGAATTCATCAGACAAACAACATAACTTGACAGCCTCAATTCATTCTCACATGAAAAACCTCATACTTCATTACTTTTTAACCTACATATATATATTTATATATATATATCAAAAATTATAAATCAGTAACACAAATGTAGATCCAATCACATTAAGCAATACAATCATCAAATGTGAAAGAAAATTATTGTTAGTCATTTCAATCAATCACCAACTTTTAAATCCAAAATTATAAATCAACAACACAAATTTATAACCAACTTCTGACTTGCTATTCATCTCTTTTTGCAATTCTCAATACTGAAGCTTTTCATCAACATCTATCTTCTCAATCCTCATTCGTTCTCAATTATACAAAAAAATCACAATCAATAACCAAAAAAAAAAAAAAAAAAAAAAATCAAAACTTGAAATCTGGGTATCCAAAAAAAGCATTGCCAAGACATGCCCATTTAAGATCATAACACTTTGTAGTACAAAAACTAAAAAAAAAAAAAAAATACAACTTGGGTAATTCAAGAAATGCAAAATTACAATCTGGGCATCAAACAAAATAATTACTCAGCAAGAGATAATCAAAACACTTCCAAATTTCAGAAATTGAAGAAACTATGATGTGGGTAATTGAAGAAATGCAAAATTATGATTTGGGTATCGAAAATGAGGTTGAAAGAGCTGAGAAATTAGTAAGTACCAAGTGAAGATCGGAGGACACAAAACCCAAAACATGGAAGCCGACGTCAGTAATTTACAAAAGTCAATGGCCGAATATATATATATATATATATATTGTTATGGAAATATAAATTTATGAACTAAAATATTATAAACGAATCACACTAAAATATTATATAAATACAATTGACAATTAAAGTAAGTTTTACAAAAATTAAATCAATGAGAATATGGTAGTTTTGTATGATATTACTTGCATACAAATATATATATATATATATAGACACACAATTTAAATATATTCGTTACATGTAAAAGAAATAAATTAAATATAAAAATAAAGTTAAAGAAAGGCTGGCCTGATATAGAGACATAAAT